AGTAGGACGCATAAAAGTCATTAGTTCATCAAATTACTACGTTTGCATGGTTTCAAGGCAAGAGAACACGCAGTACCACCCAAAAGGGGTATATTCCGTTCCTCAAAACAGGGCCGAAAAACCGGGGATATGGGCATTTTGTCCCCGGGTGTGCACCGATTCTTTTTTTTTGTATCGAACATACGTCATACTAAGAGCCTGTGTACCAAATTTTAGGTCGTGGAACGATTTCGAACGTGCGTATCCGGCCACTACCGGAAAGTGGTCCTTAATACCCCCCCCCCTCCTTTTGACCCAAATCTTACCTAGAACGTGAGGTATACTTCAAGGTCAATATATACTCGCCACCTTCACTTTTTTCAATTTTTCTTTCGTTGTCATGTAGTCTATGTTACAGGCTATCGTATGATACCTTGATCTCTTCATGAATCATCTTGAAACCAGAGAACAAGCTGCCTAAGTGGGGGGTGCCTTAGGGGGTCCTTAATACCCGTCCTTACTCAATATGTTGGGAATGCGGTTGTCCTGGCCACATGCCCGGTGACGACCTTTCCTGACCATGAAGCTTCACGGTGTACCGTTTCCAGAACCAACCATGTGGTGCTGAGCAGGGCAGCGTGAACAACCCTCTTGCAAGAGGTTGAAGCCTGTCTCTCGCCACTACATAATCACTTGGCTCCGATCGGGCGAATCATGTAACGTCATTTTTCATACTTGACAGTGAGAGGGTGGAACACGATCACAGGGGCGACCTTCAAACATGCACCGTTATGGCGGAGTACACGCCGCCTCTTCTACTGATGGGGCGGGCGGTCAGTCTGCAAGGGAAGCCTTGTCGTTTCTCAAAGCGAAATAGCGCCGGAAGAAGATAAATGTGGTCCAGGTCATGTGCTGCCCAAAGTAGTACAACACTAGGTTGATGTGCACACATGAGGGCAGGCAGTCGTATGTATCAACGGCAATTCATGTCATGCGTGTGAGAGGAAACAGTGCATGATCATGCGTAGCTGCGGCCGACGAGAATCGGGCCCGGCGAGGAAGAGGCAGTTTATGCATGGCCAAAAACCGCATAGCCTCTGGATAAGGCAAGGCCCACCTCTTCCACCTCACTCGGACATCGGACAGAGGAACGTCGCAAACATCGACCGAAGAAAAACAAATCAACTTTTAGTCAACACACGGGAGATCGTCAACTCTAAAACCAAGTCAACCAACGAAAATCCGGTGTGACTGGGAAAAAAAAACACGGCAAACTGGAGTCAAAATCGAATATCGGGCTGAGCGCTGACTGAAACTGAATCCCTATCGGATTCAGAACGTAATTTGTTGGTTCGTCTTGAATCTTTCAGCCTAACTTATCAACCATGAAAAAAAAAGATACAAGTGTGCCAACTCGTCAACTGACTACAAGGTGTGAATATCAACATTAACTGCCACTTGCCAAGCTCTGCGTCTCATGCCTACTCGCTACCCAAGCGCGAGGTTCATCGTTCTGTCGGGTGCCGACCGTCGTATCTTGGTACCGTAGCATCGTACGCCCCACGCCATGTCACTTCGCTTGCCAACAGGGTCTAACATATCACGTATCACTTGACTTACGTAGAGGAAGAGAGAAAGATGGCTACACATGTGGGCGACAGGTGTGGGGTGTCCTCGGCTGCTGCACCGTCTTCTGTTGCCTTCTTCCCTGAAGAGACACCAATCCACATGCACCCTCCTCGTCGATTTAACATCATCAGTTGCTCGGACAATGGGGGCCATCTGGAGTTGGTTCCGAAAGTGACACGAACCTTGAGGTGAATTGCCACCGTGTTTGAGGCGGAACAAACAAAAAATACTTGCCCCTTCCCCACGCCGCGTCGAAAAGGCAACAAAAAGAAGGCTCTCTTCGACTTATGGCCTCAAGTACCAAACAATGGGGCAACTCGAGTCATGTTCAGCAAGAGGACCGTATCTGAACCTGGGAGGTTTGGGGAAACATTTCAGAACGGGCCCGGAGATCAAGAACCATCAAAACCCGTCAAAACCGGGCCGAGGTTGCGCTTCTGTTGTTTCGTCGCGCAACTGTCGGGCACAGGCTCGTGAAAAGAGATCAAAGTACGAGCCACTGCTGCAGTGTGTTTCTCAATAACCGATTTTCACATTTTTCGTGAATGAATCTGAGCCTGAATAAAATATTTCTAAACCGTGGGCCCCTTCTGTTCACCGTAAAAGTGCCATGTCATGGCATCGAGGTGCGATAGTTTTACTTACTCATGCCTATTGCACGCCGGTGCCGTAACACCGACACCGGTACTAAAATGCAACATATGCGAACAAAGAAATAATATCGTTGATATCGCAACGGGCGCGTTGACGCCGATGCCGGTGCGGCATTGCATTCAAGACATGCAGTTCGTGCATTTTTGCGCACCACCGGCACCTCGATACACGCATCAAACTTAAGGTTGTGAAGAGCGTACTCGTACTGCCGCTAGAGTACGATGGAGAAGTATGGGAAGAAAATAAGAAGGTAGTGAAAGAACTCGAGGCGGCGCAGATGAAAGCAGCGAAAATCCCCCTAGGATGCTCCAAGCGCACAAGCAATGCAGCCGTGAGGGCAGAATTGGGGATCCACTCCCTACGGTCAGGAAGAGACGGGAGGAAGCTGACATGGCGGTATCGCATGTGCGGGATGGGAGAGGAGAGGTTGCCGAGAATCGTATGGGAGGCGAAGTAGGCAAACAAAACGAGGGGTAGACAACCCACGAAATGGGTCAAGGTTGCAGAGGACGTACGGAAAAGGCTCGACATCGACGAAGATGAAACGCTGGAAATGGAGGGTCTAGAGGGGTTCATGGAGAAGATATCTAGATCTCCAGTTGCTTGTGCCGAGAGAGAACAGAATCTAAGGAAAGAATCCAAGGATAAGGAGGGTCTAGAAGTGTACGGAATGCTGACGGAAGGAATAGGTACCTGGACCAATGGATGCAGGAACAAAGCTTAAGGTCGAATTCAGGACCGGGGACATAGGCCTTCGAGAACGTCGACGAAGACATAGGACGGTAGACGAGGAAGACGACGAGTTCAAATGTGATTGCGGCTTCGAATGCGAAGACCGTGTTCATGTAGTCGCGGAATGTCCGTTGTACAAGAAGNTAAGGTCAAATTCAGGACCGGGGACATAGGCCTTCGAGAACGTCGACGAAGACATAGGACGGTAGACGAGGAAGACGACGAGTTCAAATGTGATTGCGGCTTCGAATGCGAAGACCGTATTCATGTAGTCGCGGAATGTCCGATGTACAAGGAGGAGAGGGAAGTGTACGTGACTGAGCTGGGAAAAATAGATGGAACGTACAGGGAGATG